CTCGACACTTACACATTTTAATTTTACAGAATATTTTCAGTTATTGTCTTCTCAGTATTCTCCAATGCCATAGTCATCTGGTATACGTACTATATCACAATAGTGCCACCACAACTTGTCAGCCTCAACTGCCTTAATCAACCATGATTTATTTGTTTTACTTTTTTGGTGTTAGCTACCATTGGACACTAAACCTTCCTCACTGACCTCACCTATGGTAAACCTTCCTCGCGGGCAATGCCCGCGCGCCCGCAGCTTTTTTGCAACTCTGCGCTTTTTGTCAGCGAAATATTTCGCCTGTTTCTTTTGAATTGTGAGCAATCAAGTAGAAATAGTTTATTCGAGTGGTCGCAATTCAAAAGAAACAGGCGAAATATTTTGCATTTCGCTGACAAAAAGCGCTCGTGGAATCAGGCCATAACGAGGGAGAATGTAAAATTTCAGCATGCAATTTTAAGAAATATATTTCACTTAAATCTCTGTTGCTTTGCCTACAGTTTTATACACACAATAAAATCGTGAAACGAGAGAGCTCAATAAGATTTGTAAACAACAGCTCATTCAGGGCGGCAATTACGCCTTTAAAAATTAAAAATATTTAAAGCGGCACTTGCAGAACGCAAATCTTAGGCATGTTCATATGAAGGCAAGTAGGGGACATAAATACTACAGCGTGACATCATACTGAATTGTTTTTGTTTGAAAATGGTTTTACTAGCTAGAGTTCATTCTTGATCATTCTGATTTCTGAGAATATCGAAATAGCACGTAGCTAATCATGATATTTTAGTTTCGTTTACCGTAAATGGCGTTGTTGTGATACGGTTATTATTTGCCGTTGTTAATTAGTGAAAATATTTGTATCTGTTATTTGTATCTGTATTTGTATCAGAAAATATTTGCATCTGTATTTCTTCCTGTCTGTTCTCTCTCTAATGGGTTCTTGGCAAGATGAGTTACTCGCTTGTGTCATGTATAAATAGTCACCGGAAAACTATAAAACGAGTTTACATATAATATTCTACTCCTAGATCTTGTCATTGGCGAGCAAATCGGTTAGAAAGGTAGCTCACCTCCATGTCATGAACATGCCTGCAAGTGCCGCTATATATATTGTTTATATTGTTATATTGTTAAAAATTATCGTTTTGGACAGAGAAGCTTCTGAACATTTGCTCGAAAAATTGTTCAACACAGAACTTAAGACACAAGGGTTAAGCAAACTATCAAATAGTAAGCATTTGCACACCCTTAGGGGGAGCACCCATACACACTCAACTTCCCACAAGAAACGTCAATTTGACGTTTCTCTTTCACCCTCGAAACGTCAATCCATGGCAAGAAAAAAACAAGTGTGAATACTCAATAATACTTGTTTTAAAAAACATAACAAATAAAGACTTGATTTACCTTGATGAATATGTTGAATATTCGAATATTTTTAAACTTGTGGCGAAAAACTAACCTAATATAACGTGTGCTGAGTTATTAATATTTATATACCGTGATAGCTGTTGTCACCGTACTTACGTTGGCTATAGTATTATTTATTTACTCATAATAATATTCCTAACGTTTTCCCAACAACGCTTATAGCTCACCGAGGGACGCACAAAAATAAACATAACTTCTCACCAGCTATTATGTCAGGGTTCCCTTCGTAAAATTGTGCTTCTTTTGTTGGTCGATCAAAATATTCATCTCTGTTCATTGCAATAATCACCTTATATCCATCTTCTTGTGGGTTTTCAGATATGGCCAGAAATGCAATGCACATTTTGTAATGAAACCACACTACTGAAAGACGCGTTCCAATTCCGTACGCGCAGGATTTTGTCACCAGGGGGTATTAATACCTATGTGCTGAAATTAGTAAAATAAAAAATATATAAATGCCTTCAAAATTGTATTAGTTTGACGCATGTTTATTACCGCCCCTTATAGAGGGGCGGTGGGGGTGTCTTATAGAATCATCCATTGTGATTCACAAAATTATATTAATCGTCATTTCCTCTAATAATTTAGAAGGAAAAACACGGAGTTTTACTGTATATGCGTCAAAACAAAACATATATTTTCAGAAAAATACATGGAATTTCCTAGAAATAGTAAAATATTTCTATTGTTACTGTGCGATATGTTTTCACATTATGATAGTGATCAGGTAAAATATTTTAAGTGAGTCGATTATAATTGGCAGATCTGGTAAAATATATGAATGCTCGCAAATATATTATATTCTTACCATCTTACGCTTCTTACTGTACAATAACAAAATTTCAATTCTGTAATCTGTGCCGTACGCGTAGCAAGTAGAAGCAGTACCATGTTACCAAAGTTCACCGATAATTTGCAATGCCGTGTTTCAAACTAGTATGGTATTTACCATAATTATTTGAAGTTATTCCAAACAAAAATGTGCACACATTTGCTAATTGTTGCTGTTCGTGATTAACAGCAAAGAAATTAGTCAACAAACATGTCTCACGTTATCTAGTTCTTTGTATGTCAAAATATAATATAGTTTTTTTACCGCCAGTCCTTCACTGACTTCTCTTTCGGGCGCCTGCTCGATTAGAGTATATACATTCAGGTGTTACCAGACTAAATATTCCCATAATGTAGTTTAACTTTATATTAAATTGTATATTTTGCCACTCGTATATGTATTTATAAATAATTTGCATGAATCATTGCACGTGAACCTCGATCACGTACACTTAATTGTTCATGTGGTTTTCGTACGTCACGGTTCACAGCATGCCTTTTTGAAAGCGGCTAATACAAACATTTAATAATTTAAATTAAATTAACAAAGTGTTAATTGCATGCAGTGACATTGTTCTATAGCTTCCCAGCGGGCAAAATGACGCTGATGCAACCCAAGTGTATTAATACCTGCATGCATGGGTATGCAGTTATTAATACACTTATTCACGTACTTACGTTGGCTATAATATTATTTATTTACTCATAATAACATTCCTAAATCCTTACGTTTTCCCAACAACGCTTATTGCTCATGGAGGGACACACAAAAATAAACATAACTTCTCACCAGCTATTATGTCAGGGTTGCCTTCGTAAAATTGTGCTTCTTTTGTTGGTCGATCAAAATATTCATCTCTGTTCATTGCAATAATCACCTTATATCCATCTTCTTGTGGGTTTTCAGATATGGCCAGAAATGCAATGCACATTTTGTAATGAAACCACACTACTGAAAGACGCGTTCCAATTCGTACGCGCAGGATTTTGTCACCAGGGGGTAGTAATACATATGTGCTGAAATTAGTAAAATAAAAAATATATAAATGCCTTTAAAATTGTATTAGTTTGACGCATGTTTATTACCGCCCCTTATAGAGGGGCGGTGGGGGTGTCTTATAGAATCATACATTGTGATTCACAAAATTATATTAATCGTCATTTCCTCTAATCATTTAGAAGGAAAAACACGGAGTTTTACTGTATATGCGTCGAAACAAAACATATATTTTCAGAAAAATACATGGAATTTCCTAGAAATAGTAAAATATTTCTATTGTTACTGTGCGATATGTTTTCACATTATGATAGTGATCAGGTAAAATATTTTAAGTGAGTCGATTATAATTGGCAGATCTGGTAAAATATATGAATGCTCGCAAATATATTATATTCTTACCATCTTACGCTTCTTACTGTACAATAACAAAATTTCAATTCTGTAATCTGTGCCGTACGCGTAGCAAGTATAAGCACTACCATGTTACCAAAGTTTAACGATAATTTGCAATGCCGTGTTTCAAACTAGTATGGTATTTACCATAATTATTTGAAGTTATTCCAAACAAAAATGTGCACACATTTGCTAATTGTTGCTGTTCGTGATTAACAGCAACGAAATTAGTCAACAAACATGTCTCACGTTATCTAGTTCTTTGTATGTCAAAATATAATATAGTTTTTTTACCGCCAGTTCTTCACTGACTTCTCTTTCGGGCGCCTGCTCGATTAGAGTATATACATTCAGGTGTTACCAGACTAAATATTCCCATAATGTAGTTTAACTTTATATTAAATTGTATATTTTGCCACTCGTATATGTATTTATAAATAATTTGCATGAATCATTGCACGTGAACCTCGATCACGTACACTTAATTGTTCATGTGGTTTTCGTACGTCACGGTTCATAGCATGCCTTTTTGAAAGCGGCTAATACAAACATTTAATAATTTAAATTAAATTAACAAAGTGTTAATTGCATGCAGTGACATTGTTCTATAGCTTCCCAGCGGGCAAAATGACGCTGATGCAACCCAAGTGTATTAATACCTGCATGCATGGGTACGCAGTTATTAATACACTTATTCACGTACTTACGTTGGCTATAATATTATTTATTTACTCATAATAACATTCCTAAATCCTTACGTTTTCCCAACAACGCTTATTGCTCATGGAGGGACACACAAAAATAAACATAACTTCTCACCAGCTATTATGTCAGGGTTGCATTCGTAAAATTGTGCTTCTTTTGTTGGTCGATCAAAATATTCATCTCTGTTCATTGCAATAATCACCTTATATCCATCTTCTTGTGGGTTTTCAGATATGGCCAGAAATGCAATGCACATTTTGTAATGAAACCACACTAATGAATGACGGGAGTTAGGTAACATCGAGTTGGATTCGAGTTCGAGTTCGAGTTCGAGTTGGACTTCGAGTTGGACTTCGAGTTAAACTTCGAGTTAGTATTTTTCTTTACTTTTCGGGAAACTGACAATTGTATTTCACCCAACCTTTTCTGCTGGGGAGCGAGCGAGCCAGAAGCAAATTTACACTTATTATATGGGGGAATTTTATCTTAAACCATTGCTTACCGCAGCTGTAGGCCTTGTGGTCGTGCGCGATCGAAAATGCTCTGTAACATTTTTGTCGGTTGTGCTTTCACAACACCTTGTGGTAATTTTGAGTTGCAGATTACCTACAAGTTACAGATATTGAACAGTACACTCCCTACCTCCTCCGCAAGCCATACAGCCCGTAATGAGTATGCCCGTTCGCAGGTTGAAATTTGATATTTGAGAAGAAGGCTGCGGAGGAAGTAGGCACACTCCCTATACCTGGGTTTTCAGTGACTGGTTATATTAGGATCGGAACTGGCGTGAAGCAGACCGAGGTAGATTGTGAGCTTACAGATGGCGCTTTAAGCAGCCGCTATTGGTCCGTACCTCATTAATGATCTGCCCCTGACCTGACATGGTTTCCCCACAATTTTTAAATGTTATAACAAATCTTTTTACTGAGATACCTTTTTCATATCATGTACTTCATTGTTTGTATTCTTAATTCGAAACAAAAGCACTCTATTTTCCATAACTAGATCTCCACTACTGAAGATATCGATCAAGTGTTCATTTTCCTTGTTATTTTTACTAGCGACTATAAAATTAAAAGAACATTAAATACACGGTGGCTTGAAGTTTCATATCTTATTATTTATCTTCTCGTGGTGAAAACTGAAAAATATATTTTTTACTCACTCAAAAATTAAAATTTATATCTTCGCACCGCCGTAGCCGCCCCCCGTCCCCCCTCCCCCACTGGAGGTATGGAGAAACAGCAGACTAATCTCAGAGGCAGAGAGTAAGAAGGGCTCTGGGTACGAGAATGAGGCAGTGCTGATCAGTCTTCTATCGCATACTACACCCTGTCTCCGTACCCAGCCGTTTCTTTATAAAAAACAGCGATGCGCATATGACGTGTTCACATGAAGTATTGTAGTACACTGCGCCGTTTAACATCCTCTATATAGTACTCTCCTTGACCTTTCAAGACTAATAATGCAACATATCCTCGATCATCACACGTAGTATTAGGGAGGCTGGACACGCAGGGGCGAGAATATTTAAAAAAGGTAGTCATTTTTAGATTGGGATTAGATTAGAGCCAGATTAAGATTAAACCAGGGTTAGAGGTTAGAGTGGGGTTTGGGTGGGGGTTGTAACTCTTGGTTGCCAAATAGGGAGCCACAGGGGTTGCAACAGTACAAGCGTTATTCAAACTCAACAGGCGTTGATAAATTAACACACAAAACTTTATTTCAATACAATGATACAGTCACGAAACGTTTCTTGGTAGCAATTTGCTACGCCAATCTAATGGATATGGTAGCGATAGTTGATAGGTTAGCCTTTAGATCAGGTAGCGGTAGATTGTGTAGCGTAGATATTGTAGCGATATATAGGTAGCAATATTTAGATAGCAATATGTAGGTTGCAATATGTAGGTTCGAAGTACTTTAGTTTACACCTGTACTCCAATAGCTGGCTGCTGTAGATAGATAATTGAAGTAGAAATCCACTATATTTGAATAGGTTGCGTTCGCATGTGTTTTTGTACTACCGTCAATTCAATACTAAAGGGGTGTGACGGGTTCAACTTAATATAAGGCATATCCTTAATCTTTAGCAAATTTGACAATTAACGATAATCCCTAATACCACGTGTGAGGATATGCAGAATAGAACTGATAGTTTCGAACGCATATTTTGAACGAAACAACACTTAAAATGTACAAATTTTAATATATTCTTTTCCAAAATACACATAGTAATTACTGTATAATATTATTAAGATGTACAACAAAGTGCATTATAAAAACGATTTATAATAAAGTAAATTTACATTGCTACGTTTCATTCTCCATATTTATAAACGTAATAACACGTGTTTGAAGTTGCGAAGAAGCAAATATGAATCGGAGTTGTTCGGAAATTACCAGAACATTCGGAAACGCCAGTGTATAAGTAACTCGAAGTTTAACTCGAAGTCGAACTCGAACTCGAATCCAACTCGATGTTTCGGGATTCCCGAAAAATATACTATTTAAATACTTCAAATGTCAGTTTTATGTCACAAAAACTGCTAAAAATAGCAAACGTAAACAAACTGTCAAAAGGCGTATTTAATACCAAAACTGAACAAAAATTAGTTAGATAACTTAGATATACAAACTAAAGCACAATACAAACCATCACAACAGAAATATATGTCGTGAATAACTTCTAAAGTTTGAAAACTAACAATTTAAGCTGTTAGTATAAAACACGCGCGCTAGACTATAACGGTGACGTTTACAATTATATGATTTTGTTTGTGCTTAAATTTTGCAATAATTCGCACTAAAATATCTTGAAAATCATTGTAAGCCTATTTATATAAAGCATAATAAGCATACACATCGACAAGGAACGGGAAAACTCAAAGTTTAAACCGGTTTGTGACCGAATGACATAACTGACATGTCAACTCTAGCATTTTCGTCCTTGGTCGCGTAATTTTGAAAACAGGTGTAATATGCACCCTCTTCGCCACAAACACAAAATAAATCTGCTATAAGAGCTATATCCAGGGGCTCTAACTAGCCCCTTTTTCGTATTGGGGGGGGGGGGGTATCGCCCCTATACAGGCATACAAATTATATTTACATGAAACGGGCCATATTTGATATATACGCATGAGTTTCCTCGACAATAGTGGCACAACGTCCCACACGATTGAGCGTGTTCATCAGTTTATTCAAAACAATAAATAAATACTAGTAATTTATACCAACCTTTGGTCCAGGATATGATTATTCCTTGACCGACCTATTATCCGCAATTCCCGCCAAAACTTTCACGACTGAGTGCAATTCCCGCCAAAACCTTTACGACTGAGTCACTTCGATGTTTGTCAGAAAATGAGTCCGCCTTTTTCAAATTGCAGCCCGCGATTTGTAAAACACGGACTCAGTCCGCGTTTTACAAATCTTAGTTCGCGATTTGTAAAACACGGACTCAGTCCGTGTTTTCCCGGTCCAGTCCAGTCCAGTCCGTGTTTTACAAATTCAGTCCGCGATTTGTAAAACAAGGACTCAGTCCGCGTTTTCCCGGTCCAGTCCAGTCCAGTCCAGTCCGGTCCAGTCCAGTCCAGTCCAGTCCGTCTTTTACAACATGCCGTTGTAAAATCAAAAACTTCGCTAGCGGTTTGACGTTTGCCGTAAACGTCAATCTTAAGGTCTCTATTAGCTAGTTTACGATTGACGACTCGCCGCACGAAGGCCGAGAGGGGGACTAGACGCTAGCGCGGTCAAGTCGTCTTCAATGTTTCGCACGGCGTCTTCTCGCCTTTCACGACGCTATTTTGAAAATTCTATGTTGGGCTGACAATGTAGCTTGTTTTAAGGTTACTTATTGCTTTTCTTTCTACGCTTAGAATAGCAAATCACTATCGCAGTTCCTCTACCATTTCCAACCTGGGTTCTTGAAGCGGCGCTGTATATTGAGACTCGGGTGTTAGAGGTTTATCATAACTTAAAAAACTCAATAATTCAGGCGAAAAGAAAGAAAAATCATAGGCGTGTCGTGGTTTTATATGTGATAAAAAATCATGTTAATTTACATAAACTTTAGCTTTGATTTTCTCGGTTTAGACAAAGTTTATTTTAAAAATTACTTCGCCAATGAACTCGTATAAGATGAGTCGTTTTTTAAGCCATTTAAAGCACGTGTAGTCGTGTTTTATCACATATAAAACACTCCGCTACGCGTCGTGTTTTACATGTGATAAAACACTCCTACGCGTGCTTTAAATAGTACATATTAGATTCGCTCGCAAGTAGCAAGGAAGTAGATGCGGTGTACTTAGATCTATCTAAGGCATTTGATAAGGGGCGGACCATTAGAAATCCCGGGGGGGGGGGCGAAAATTCAAAAAAAAAAAATCGTGCAAAGGAAAATGCCTGGGAAAAAAATTCGTGCAGCCATTACGTCAGAGAAAAAAAATTCGTGCAAGCAAACAGCGAAGTACAAATAGTCTTGAAAAAAAATTTGTGCAGAGGTTAAATGCATTAAAAAAAATTCCTGCAGAGGCACGAGACTGAAAATATATATATATATATATATATATATGTATTGAAGCAAATCATTT